ATTTATTGTAGTTTTGGGTTTTGATGCATTTGATATAATTTTAAATTCATTCACAAATCAGTATTGCATTTATTTGTGAATCCATTCTCCTGGATATATATATGTAGGGGATAGAGACTTTTAAAGCCTTGTAGAAATCAAATCAACACATCTATTTGTGGCATTTATATATGTGTATCCTGTCAATTGATATTAATACACGAAATCGTCGAACCTTTGTGGACATGCATTTAAAGAAAAGAATATCATATAGAGGCTGCACCACTAATCACAATACTTCTAGTACTCCCATTTGTCAGTTGTACATGTTTTTTTTTGTATATATATGTATGCTAGCTTTCCTCCGACACTCAGTGCGCTTTTAAATATTTATGAATAATTGCATATACTAAAGAAAACATTAAGTATTAATAAATGAAAACATTTGTATTTATTAATAAATACAATGATACTATGTATTAATAATTGGCATACATCCTAGAATGGAAACCTTTCATTTATGCATGCATGTATGAACTTCATTTATGGGACATATTGGAAAATATGCATAGAACAGAAACCTGTGTTCGAGGCCGATTAACGAAAACCACTGGTATTTGTTCACAAATATATTTCTGATAATTCAATGACCAAATATCGCCACAAAACATATTGACAAAGCAATCCTTTTTTTGTAATTTATGAATGCATGAAGCAAGAACTTCATTTATGGACATGGCACCTGTATAGCAAAACTTGTTTAGAATAGGAACATATTATAAAATCTGCCTAGAATGGAAACTTGTGTAGCAAAGGAAGAGTAGCGGAAACCTCTGATATTAAGGGTTTTAATAATTCTAAACAAATAGCAGTGGTTTTACTACTCTAGCTTAGCACTTCTTTTTAATCCATGCAGGTTTTGCTATATATACGTGTGTGCTCCGTCCATAAATGAGATCCTTAATTACATTGAAACATAAATGTGTTGTTACAAGGACTCGAACCCACAATCTACTCATCCCCGCAGCCTACCTACCACTGAGCTAGTGCAAGTTTTGATATCTAAAATAAATTTACACCCTAGTTCTATTGTAACTAAAGTATAACTACACTATAATTATACCATAGTTGAGTGAAAAATTTTCCCCTGACTAAAAATTATTGAATGTGCTATAGGTAGACCCAACATAAATGAAAATATTTTTTTCTTAATACGTTTTATGTGGTACATTCACTCCATTCAAAAAGAACACTATATTCAAAGAAACATTTAATCATGAGTATAATTTGTTGTTCTATGATTTATTATTTTATACAAAATAATTTAGACTTTTATTGTAAGATGACATGCACATATTTATTCCAATGTGAGATATTCACATTTAATGATTTTTTTATAAAACATTTATTGTAGTTTTGGGTTTTGATGCATTTAATACAACTTTAAATCCATTCACAAATCTGTACTGCATTTATTTGCTCTCTCTATGTGAATCCATCCTCCTGATATATATGTAGGGGATAGAGACTTTTAAAGCATTATAGAAATCACATCGACACATCTATTTGTGGCATTCATATATTGTGTATCATGTAAAATGATATTAATAGAGGAAATCTTGGAACCTTGTGGAAATTCTTCTAAAGAAAAAAAAATCATATAGGGCTGTACCTTCGGTCACATTACTTCTGATGCGCCCTTTTGTCAACTGTATAGGTTTTGGTATATATATATGTATATGTATGCTAGCTTTCCTCCGACCATTAGTATATTAAAATATTTATTAATAATTGGAATATACCAATTAAAATACAAAGTGTGTGTCTAGAATGGAAACCTTTCATTTTATGCATGTATCAACTCCACTTATGGGGCATATATGAAAACCTGTGTGTGAGGGAGAGCAACGAAAAATTTTTAATAATTCTTGTTTAGAATAGGAACCAATGTGCCGAGGCGGAGTGGCGAAAACCAGTGGTATTTGTTCATGAATATATTTTTTTAATAATTTAAAGGTTAGGTGTCTATATGCTTGCACATTAAATATAACAGGCATATATACCATGGAAACATATAAAAAAATCTTTGCATTTATACACGCATCCAATAATTTCATTTATGGAAGAAGCGCACAAATAGTAAAACCTACATGGAGTGGAAACTTGTATACGAAGGCAAAGCGGCGAAAACCACTGGTATTCAGTGTTTTTTCAATATATATCAGTGGTTTTCGTCGCTCCATCTTGGCACACAAGTTTCCACTCCATGCAGGTTTCGCTATGTATGTGTGCTCCATCCATAAATGTGGTTCTTACACACAAACATAAATAGATAGTTGCAAGGACTGGAACCCGCACCCTCTTACTCATTTATTCATTTGCACCCTCTTAAATTTCATAAACCAAGAGTATGTGTCTCTCAGGGGACATGAAAATGAGTTTCCAATGTGTTTTTTGTGCTGAGGCAGAGTGGCGAAAACCACTAGTATTCATTCATAAATAGATTTTTAATAATTCATATATTGTATATATATATTCTCCAACCATAAATGAGGTTCTTACACACAAACATAAATGGATAGTCGCAAGGACTCGAACCTGCACCTTCTTACGCATTTGCACAGCCTATCTACCACTAAGCTAGTTTTACTTAGTTTTGATATCTAAAATAAATTTACACCCTAGTTATACTTAGTTACACTATAATTACCTAAAAGTTCAGGTAAAAAGTTTCCTCTAAAAATTATTGAATGTGCTATAGGTAGACCAACATAAATGAAAAGTTTATTTTATTAATTAGTTTATTTTGGTATATTCAATCCATCCATAAGAATCACTATATTCAAAGTCACATTAAACACTTTCTATTCATTTTCTAAATACACAGATATCGAGTCTATAATTAACTTATCATAGAACTATAAGTAACTCCACACAAACCACACATACTTTGTATTTCCCAAAACAATCGCATGAAATTTCATAAACCAAGAGTATATGCCTCTCAAGCGACATGAAAATGAGATTCCACTATGTTTTTTGTGCTGAGGCAGAGTGGCAAAAACCACTAGTATTTATTCATAAATAGATTTTTAATAATTCATTAGTAAGATGTCTATCCCCGACATCTACGCATTTAATAGGAGGTATATATACCATAAAAAACATATGAAGAAAAAAATTTGTATTTATACACGCATGCAAGAACTTTATTAATGGACCAAGCACATATATAAGTAAAAACTGCTTCGAAAGGAAACCTGTGTGCCAACTGAGCGGCAGAAACCACAAGTATCAAGAGTTTTAATAATTCTAAACAAATATAGGAGTTTTTGTTACTCTACCTTACACACATATTTTTATTCCATATAGGTTTTGCGGTATATATGTGGGGAAAATATGTAGCGCAAACCTTATATTGCAAACATGGAAAGTAATGAAGAACAAAAAATTGGGCATCTAAGATTTGTCAATGTCACCAGGAGCAAACTCTTTACGCACATACTTAACTAATTATGAGTAATAAAATTTTTAATGGGAGTAAAACTTTTACTCATGGTGATGTGAACAAATCTCCAACACCCATTTTTAGATCCGACGATAGTTTCTAGGTTTGCGCTACATAATTTTCTATGAATGTGTTCAATCTATCTCATTTAAATGAGGTTCTTACATGCAAACACAAATGAAAAGATTTTTTTTTCTCAGTAACTTTTTTTGGTATATTCAATCCATCGGTCAAGAACACTTTCAAAGACACATTTAGTCATTTTTTTTAGTTTTCTAAATACGCGGACATGAGTCTATAGTAGAATTATATATCGAAGAACAATACACAACTCTACACAATCATACTCTATATTTCCCATTACAATTGCATGAAATTTCATAAATGAAATGAGCGTGTCTCTCAAGAGACATGCATTAAAATGAGTTTATGTTGTGTTTTTGTTCCGTACTACCGAAAGCAAACATAGCATATATTGTCAGTTTGTCACCATCATCATGCACATCCACAAGAGAGATATATGATGCACCCTTCACAAGAGTGAAGCATAATACATAGTCAACTCTTTGAAGAAACCAAAGATATGTCACGTACTTGTGTCCATGAAGAGGTCTTCGAGAGGATGTGTATTGTATAAAGGCAACAAATTGAAATTTGCTAGTAGAACTAAAATATTACTTTCTCTATTTTAAAATAATTAACTATTGTGCTACTTATGGCCGTATTCTAAGGGGAGGTAAATGATTTAAATATCCCTATTAAATGAGAAAGATACTTGTAGCCAAATTTTAAAAGGAAGTAAATGACCTAGATACCCCTATTAAATGAGAGTTGTTCGGAAGTGGGGGTAGTTGGGAGTATATGAAATTATTTATTAGGGTCACACGTGTGCTACATGCAAACTGTCGTTTTTATAGCTTAATTGCATAAGCTAAATCTCCTTCATTTATTGCATTGACCGGCGCCGAACTGGCAGTGAATTGCTCTCGAACTCCCTCCATCAAAGTACTTTTGGTAACAATCACACATTGTGACACTAGCTGCTTCTGAAGAACTTTGATACGATCTATTTTACGCCGATGATTTGTAGAGCTATATGTTATAGAGAAGCCATATATACATTACTAATAAATTGGGGTGAAAAAGTTTCTTCTTTTAAGTCATATGTGAAAAATCACAGCAAGACGACAAAATTGTGTGACCGTGACGTATAGGCCGTACAACCGTTGACATGAAACATTTCAAACCGTACGTACGGAGAGTACCATTGACGTAAAGCGTTTCTATATTCTTCCTAGTACGTACCAGGTATTACGTAATATGGATCCCATATATCCGAATCTGCGTCTTCGACATAAATGTTAATTTATTATTTTTACATGATTTTATTTACCAATGATTAATTATCATGATCTCCCAGATACACCTCCCCCTAGTTGGTGAAGTCCCTGGGTAGCATCCACACACATTTAGCCTATAAATACAGTGCCATACCCCTTCTTCTTCCCCACACCAACATCCAGATCCTCCTCTCTTCTTGCATATGCTACTCTCTCATTGTTTTGCAGTGGTATTCGCTCTCTCTGCACTGCTCGCCGGCCTTGCCCTCGCCATCGACGAAGGGTTCGGCATGGAGTGGACGGCGGCAGAGCTGGCGGAGGCAAGGTCGGTCATCGCTAGGGTCAGCGACGCCTACAACTCCGGCGTAGGCAGCAGCAGCAGCGCCTGCGACACCAAGCACGACCGCATTATGAGGGAGCTCCAGGCGAGGTTCCCGTCGAGGACCATGGTCCAGGTAATCGATCTGTACGTTAATCTCACGGTGGAGACGGCGGCGCAGCCGCAGGACGCCGGCAGCGCCGGCGACGCCGCCGCCGTCGTCCACCCTACTTTTGCCGGCGGCATGCCCGTTGTGAACAACAACGACGGCATGGTGCATGGTGGTGCTGCTATGGAGGTGGGGGCGGTGGCGGTGAACGGCGGGGACGGTGAGGTGGTGAACCCGGACAATGCTGATGACGATGTGCTTTGGACTGATTATGAGCACAGGTTGATTCTTCATCTGTATATACGTCTTCTACTTTGATTTATGACATGATTTTTTTTTTGTTTCTTTGCATGTTTAGTTAATCAAAATTCCACTTTTTTGGAGATGAAAATTTAATTAACTAGTTTCTGTGCATGTTTAATTAAAATTCCAGTCTTTTGGATATATATATATATATATATATATATATATATATATATATATATATATATATATATATATTATTTACTGGTTAAGCACGTCCAAAATTAAAGCATGTGTTGTACTGTTTTCTTTTTGTTTTTTGTGTAGTGATGTACTAGTTCTTTAATAAAAAATATAGTGTAAGTGATGTATGATAAATTGATAGTAATAACCTTTTAGTTTTTGTTGTTTATATATAGTGAAGTAGTGATCCGTATATAGTCAAAATATATTATTATTTTAACCCGTTTTGCTACAATATATATGTAGTAGTAATTTGGAACTCTGTCTAGATAAATGAAAATTCATTGTTCATGTTCATAGTTTGGCACATGTTAAGATGACAAAATATAGTATACAATGTCGATTGCTTACATATTTAAAGTTGACCTTAGAATTAGAAGTTCTTTGTTTTTTTATAAGAAAACATCATGTTTAATTTGGACGTAGTAGTAGCAAAGGAGTAGTAGTATTTACTCACAAAGTCCACATTTAATTTCGTTCATTTCTAGGAAATACATATAGGCACTTCTTCAGTCATAATGACAGCTCATTAATTAATCATATCAGTTTCTATACCACACCAATTTCATTTCTAGGAAGTGAACAGATTTCTTTAGTAACCTTAATTTGGAAACAATTGCAAGGTTAGCAAGCTAGCTAATTAAACAGCTCAAGAGAAGAACTTAATTAATTTAATCAAATCTTTTTCACCGCAGGCTGTTTCTGACTGGGATGCGTGTGTACGGGCGTGGCGACTGGAGAAACATCTCGAGGTACTTCGTCAGAAGCAAGACGCCGGAGCAGATCTCCATGTACGCCGACAACTACTTCCACATGATGGAGATCGCCGCGGCCATGGAAGCCGACGGCGGCGACGACGACGACGGCCACCATGAAATCAATAACAACAACAACAACTTGGGCGGCGGCCAGCTGCACGCCGTCGTCGGCGCCGTCGGGCACGGCCCCGGTGCCGGGCACATTGCTCCGGCGACCCCCTCCAACAACAACACCGCCGCCGCCGCCGTGAACAACAACGTCGACACACCGTTCTGGGTTCCGCTGCTGTACAACCCCGAGATAGAGCAGCGGATGATGGAGATGCAGGCGCAGTCGCAGAAGGCCTGGGATGATCAGCAGATGAAGATGGCTGAAGCTGCAACTCCAAAGGAGGAGGGAGCAGCTGATAAGTGATAAGTTTGTGTGGCCGGAAGCTGATCGATGTTCCTGCTGAACAATGGAACACACATGTTATGAACATCTAATTAGCTATTCATAAAGATAGCGCATATATATGGTGATCCAGACTATATTAATAAATAAAAATATGGCAGCAAATCTATATGTGTGTTGTTGAAGCTAAGACAATATTTGTGATCATTTTAATTTGTTGCCATGTTTGGGACCATTGGAGTCTCCTGGAGAGTGCTCAATCGGTTGACAAACTTCTCGCTCGGTCTTGAAAATGTATATATGAAGTTTATCCCTTGATATATATATGGACCGTCGTGTGGTTGGTATCTTAGAAGTCGATCAACGGGTTTTGACGCCTTTGTATTTTCCGGACGCCTTGCCCTTGCCTTCCACTGCTCTCGTCTTGGCAAAATGGCAAGTTCCTTTCTTTTTATCTCTTGGAAAACTCTGCAACTCACAAGGAATTGCGAGCCAGTCTTGTGGAAAACAGGCCCCAAAGGCTGAAATCGACACAGGAAACTGGACACCGAAGAACACCATAGAAGATCCAAACTGATGATGACACAGAGGCTAGATGTAAGACTCGGCTGAACCAGCCTCGTTAACAATGTCATGTCTTGATGTCATCATCAAGTTTGGATCTTCTATGGTCTTCGGCGTTTGGTTATTGATGTGTTATCGGTGTCGGTTTTATAACAAATTGTGTAGTATGGTCTCTCCAGGTCATCCCTATTGCACTCAGAGTGCATGACTTTCGATTTTGAGAGAATCTATTATATATATACTACTCCAGTTCAACGATTTTCCATCGACTTTGTCTTCCTCCATAATATGCCATGACTTTGTCAATTTTTTCTACATTAAACCATTGTGGTTGATACTTTTCAAAAAAAATAACTAAAATGCTCTTTAATACATGACAATTGATTGACCTACTACAAGTATTGAAAAATTATGAAAATTTTTACATAGCCTCCTTACATAATATGAAGTGTGCACATATTTTAATATTTTCAATTTGTATGTACGATTTTTTAAAAAAATATAATTTATGTCAATATGCTAATATAATACTCATGCTTTGATGTTATCTTATGTAAATCATCTTTCATATGCTACACAATTATTTTTCTAATCTGGCTATTTTTGTGTATGTGATTCCTCTTTCATATGCCATAAAAATAGTTTTTCAAAAAATTTGAAGAAAATCTTAAAATACACACATAAACTTCTATATTGTGTAAGAAGGCTATACAAAAACTTTCATATTTTTTCGAAACTTCTAGTGAGTCAATCATTTGTCAATTGTTGTATGGCTTGGAGGGTATTTTAGGTATTTTAGAAAAGTATCCATCCCGGTGGTATATAGTAGGAAAAAAATGACAAAGTCAATGGCATATTAATTATAGAGGAAGACAAAGTCAATGGTAAATCATTGAAGTAGAGTAAATTCAGTGGCATAGAATAGATTCTCTCTCCAGCGTGAGTCTGGTGATCATCTTCACCAATGATCCTACCAATCATTATCTTGCCACCTTTCACTTGAACAATTTCACAATTTTGTCTTTCCTCTTCCTCGCGAATTGCAAGTTCCTCAACTCGCCCAAAGAGGTAGCTATCGTGTAGCCATTCTTTGTAGCTTGTTGGGGATTCGCTGACAAGGGCGTCGCTAGGGTGCCTCCTCGAGTGTGCCCTCTTGCCATTATCAGCCCCAGCCATTGTGAGACCTTAGATCTCTTGAGTATGTGTGTATTATGTTATGTGGGCTGCACCAAGTTGGCTTTGTGCATTATAAATTCCGTGCTGAAGTTGAATAGAGGGTGATCTTAAAGCACTAGGATGCTCTGTAGTTGCTTCTCGGGAATATCAAAGTTCAACCTTTAACAAAGCGGTCATTGGCTTGCACTATGATATGATCTTTAGAGGCGGGTTTGAACATTGTTTCCACCATCCCAGGCCTATCCCATAAATTGTCTTTTGCTAGTCCCCAAAGTCGATTGCATTGGTTGCATAGGCACCGGCAACAACAACCTTGGCATGTTTAGCCCTGGCTACTTCAGCTCAGGCGGCTTTGCCCTCCTTGGAAGCCTTGGTGGCATATGCGTCAATCACCTAAGCTCCACACATGTTGCCATTGGTATTGTTGTTCATGTCGACGGGATTGTCGTGCATGTCGATATCAATAATCCCCATATCTCAATCGGTAGTTGAGTGTTCGGATATATATAGTCTCCAAAATGGTTTCGACGGATCAAAACCAAAAGCAGGTCATCGAGGTTGATTTCTGTATAGCATACCATCTGGTGCTCAACATCTTCAGATAGATCTGGCATGTTGAAGAAGATCGGATAGGCCCAGGTTGGACCGGATTACGGTGACCAACAACTTGACATGAAAGCTTATGATACTAGGACCTGGTTGGATTGGACTTGGATCTCCCAAGCCAAATTGATTGTAGCAGCTTTTATCGAAAAATTCATACCTTGTCATCTCTTCATAGAAAACCTAGAAACACAAATGGCCCAACTATCATCAATTAATAATTTGATAATAATATTGTGCGTACTTGCATCCTGTTGAGTTAAAACTTTCCTTGGAACACAAAGAAGCGGGAAAAAAATTGTCCCCTTACGAAAAGGCACTAAAGAAATTATAATCATATGTGTGGGCTGCACCACCGATCACAATACATCAATACAAAATGGGTGTGTGCATCTTTTTCTTAGAAAATAAGTGCATGAATCCCATCCCAAAGAATACCTTGACAAAGACATACATATGCTTCATTTGTTGCATATTAACTACAGTCATAAACTTAATTTTTACATCATACTTTTTTGGGAAGATTAATCGTTATCAGTGTGACTATGACAGAGAAACACAGTACAATAACAGGATTTTTTTAAGGGTTAATATAGTTCTATTTGATAATTAATTATGTGTTGGTTCAAGTTTCTGTTTCAGATATGTAAAAATCTTGCATTGACATATGCTGACCAAAAGATCAGCGGTCCAGTGTGGTTGACATTAGAGATAGATGAGACCATGTATGGATCATCATGCACGAGACCAATATTCTATCTCTTATTGTCCACGGGCTTGGGTATGCATGGTATATTTAAATATCTAATAATTGGTATATACCACAGAAAACATATCGAGGAAGAAATCTTTAATTTATGTATGCATGTACAAACTTCATTTATGTGGGCATATAGCCATACCTGCCTAGAATGGATGAAACCTGTGGGCCTAGATATACCACTGGTATTTGTTGAGCGGTCAGGTGAATCTGCCTTTAGACATTTAATAATGAGCATATATACTATCTATAGAAAACATACCAATAAAAAATTATTTTCATTTATGCATGTATGCGAGAACTTCATTTATGGACTCAGAACATAAATAGAAAAACCCACCGGATTGGAAACCTATGTGCTATAGAGCGGCAAAACCAGTGGTTTTGCCCAGAAACAAAATTTAAAAATTATTAGAAGAGACCAGGTGTCCGTCCCCTTGCACAATTTCCGCCTCCCGAGAAAAATATAATGTATAATAGAAATCACTAAAAAGATTGCATTGGCAAAGGTTTGCATATATCATCTCACAAAAGATATATTTTCACTCCAAATGTCAAGAAAACCGTATATTCAAAGTCACACATAGACTTTTTTTTTCTTTTTCAAATGCATAGATCAATCGGTTTAAGAACTGAATGCACAACTCGATCTACACTATCATACTCATATTTTTCCCTAACATTTTGCATGAAACATTTCAGAAATGGAAGAGTAGAACCCTTGAATGGACATCGATCAAATGAGTTTTCCACTGCCGTTTGTTCTGTATTGCTGAAAGCTGAGATATAACACATTGTCAGCACCATATCACAACCGATTGAGATATATCTGATGCACACATTTGACACATTGTCAACTCTCTTTCCCTCCCCCACCCCCCCCCCCCCGGCAATTGTCTCGTTTACGTCGACGTTGTTCAAGGCTGCATCAGTACATTTGACCTCTTGGATTGCTCCGGTTTGGATGATATATTTGCCTGCCTATATATCATATGTCTTAGTTAATCTAGTCTTAATATCTCAATTTAGCACTATCGGTTGTCTCTCACTTTAGGGTTTCTGCCGGTATCAGTTAAATTGTTTTACTAGATTAGATTAGCTAAGGCATCTACCACCCTAAAAATCAATCAATGGCTTGATTGTCTAGATATTATGTTTCTTTTCATACTTAGTGCTGCATCAGTTAAGTTTGATCTACTAAGTCGTGTTTAGAACCATAATCCCTAGTCTGCTTTTTGACTGCCAATAAGGGTTTCATCGGGGTTTCAGCCGATGAGGTAACTGGACGTTGCATCGACTTACAAGGATTGCATATAAGTTGGATTTAGCCGATGATAACAAAGATTTCACCGTTTAATCTAACTTGTGGATTTTATGACATCGGACCTCCAGCCGATGTATTCTTTAACCATTGGATCAGTACTTATCCTATCATATTATTATTAGCCGATTGGTTTCTATTGGATTGTATTGTTGCTTTCTTGCATTATCATCAGTCGATTGCCTTTATATTGTTATTTACATCAAGCGTCAGAATCTACATCAGAATTATAGCCAATAGCTCAAAACCCTATCGCTATCGGCTGGTATCAGCATCGGCTGGAATTAATCTATCGGCTTGTCAGCCAATCGGCTCATTGATCTACTATTTGTATATCTTGTTATTTGCAGGGTCAAACTATCTGGCACGCCCGCATCTCACCAAGCTTTGGACCTGCACTGGAGCTAAGCAAATCTCCTAGACCAGTGTGTGTTTTTCGCATCAACAATCTCCCAAGCCAAATTGATTGTAGAAGCCTTTATCGGAAAATTCATACCTTGTCATCTCTTCATAGAAAACCTAGACACACAAATGGCCCCTACCTTATGTGCCAACTATCGCCGATTAATAATTTGATAATAATATTGTGCATACTTGCATCCTATTGAGTTAAAACTTTCCTTGAAACATGACAATAATGTGGCACAAAGAAGCTAGAAAAACATTGGCTCCTTGCGAAAAGGCACTAAAGAAATTATAATCATATATGTGGGCTGCACCGCCGATCACAATACATCAATACAAA